TTTTTTATTTTAAATCAAATAAGCTTTTTGACTAATGATTGATTTAGCTAAAATATCATTTATTATTTTATATCGCATGACGCTAATGTAGCATGTTAAAATATTATAATTAATTATGATATGATATGCTGATATATCATAATTGATGATAATATAATATACTAATTTAATATGATAACATAATTATGTAACATTTTTCACTCTTCACATCAATATTATGTTAGTATCATGTAGATGTAAAATAATAAATGATATTTTTACGAATGACAATTAATCAATAATTAGTTATAAGTGCTTATTTGACTTAAAATAAATTTACAAGAATTTGATTAAATATAACAAAAAAATAAAGATGCATTTAAATATTTTTAAATAATTTAAAAATTTATTTGAGCATTATGCAAAAGAAAAAAAAAAAAAGGAAGATGCAGTGGCCGGTTTAGAAGGTTCTTACTTGTAATACCTTGCTATTTCCACCTTACCCTCGAGACCCACCTAGCAAAGTTGGATCCATCAAACACGTTTTTATCTTGAAATAAAAGTCAAAGTTGTTTTTATATTTAGTTTTAGTAAAGAATAAGTTCCAGGAATTTCATTTCAACGTTGATGTATTTGTTTCCACATAAACCGTACTAAGTGGACATCATCAACATTTTAATTTTCGTTGCACTATAATATAATGTATCTTAGAAATTTCATTCTCTTATTTTAAAATTCAGATTTGAGATCTTTAATATAAAAAAAATATTTATCTTATATATGGATGATGGAATTTTTTTAACTCCACAATTAAAATTAGAGGATTGATAAATTTTTAATTACAAGCTTATTAATGAAAATTAATAAATTAAATTAATATTCAATGATCACATGACAACTTTCTAATATCATTTATAAAATTAAAAAAATTCCACTAGTTGTGTATAAAATAATAATTTTATGTATTAAATTTCATATTCTAACTTTTAAATCTCTTGGGAGGCAATGGAACATGAATATATGTATTCTAATATTTAATTTATTAATTAATGTATGATTTTTTTTAAAAAAATAATAAAAATGGAATCTCTATTCTCTCGTATATATATATATATATATATATAAATAAAATATGGATATACATAAAAAGTGTTGCAATATATCTTGAATAATGGAGAGAGACAATGGGATTTCATTTTTTTTATTTTCTACATAAAGGACCACAAATTAAGGATTGCATCAACCTAGGATGCCTACTACCGTACTCCTGTAAGAGACAAAAGGGAAAAAATATAAATCTGTTGTTCTTGGGATGTGGGATCTCGTTTTTAGTTAATGGAACATTAATTGATATAATAATAAAGCTAAGGGTGATGGAAGGAGGGTGGAACCAAATTAATCAATTATTATAAATTTTCGGATTGTGGGGTCACTAGTATCAACTGATGCAGTTGGTGCATGAAAAACGTGGGCAAAGTTACCGTGTGAGGGTGGTTGTAGTGTGTTGGTCTTTTAATTGAAGTTGCTCACCTGTTGGAAGAAGCTCTTGTTGTTTTAGAGCTCAACAAACTATAAAAGTCCTTAAGATGCTATATTTGCGTTGCTCAATTTGATAGTGTCTTGGATTATAGCACAGCAACTAATTTCCTGTCCATCCTCGTTCCTCTATTTCTCTCCTGGTTTTGCTCTTTCTCAGCAATGGCGACTGAACACCAAGATGCCGCACCTGATCTTAATGTACCTCTGCTTTCTGACGAGAAGCAGATGAAATTACAGGACCTAGAGGCACCCGGAAATCATGTTGACATCCACACCCCGGGCGCCACCTCTTTTTTCAAGACTTGTTTCAATGGACTGAATGCTTTATCAGGTACTTTCTCATCAATGCTCAACTGTCTCAAACCCCTTGAACTTTAGAGCCTTTGCCATAGTCGTTTGTTTTGCTTGGAGTTGTCAACTTTTTATGGCTTTTAACATGACTTTTTTTCTATCATATTTTTCATTAGTTTTCAGCCAAAAGTTCTTAAAAACTTTTATGTATATATATAGTAGAAAAGGGTAGAGGACATGTGTTTCCATGTTAGGCCGGCCAAACTTTTAAACACAGTAAAAACCTGGCTTAATTAGTTGGTTCAATAAAAGAACAGGGAACATGTGGTGGGATTTTAGTTTACAGCTCTCAAATCAAACTAGTGGTTTCTATCAGAAAAGCTTGCTAGAACTTGCAGCTGTGCATGAATCTATCGAGGAAGACCTCATAGGCCAAACGGAACACGGAAAAGAAGAATGGAGTCATGGGGACGGCTCAGAAAAATCTAGGTATCATGAATACCTCAAGAATTTCTAGTGGTGTAGGATCAAAGAAAAATCTTGGTACACAACTGGTTAAGTAGCCAGACAAAAAAATGGTGTCCTTATCTATAGTGGGTAACGTGTAACCTAACTGTCGTGTAATAGAAAAAAGCGAGGAAACCTAGGATTTGTGGAAATTTTGTTGTTTTTCTTTGTTTTTCTCTGAGAATTTCGTGTATTTTTATCTAATCTGAACATTGAATGTTCAGAATCGATTTTAATATTTTATTATTTTATTAAAATTTTTGCGAATTTCATGTTTTGATTGCATCGTGCAATTCCATTTTTTTTATTCCGATTGTATCTACACATTCTAATTTTTTTGGGGGGGTTGCTAACTCAACGGTAGAGTACTCGGCTTTTAAGTGCGGCTAGCATCTTTTACACATTTGTATGAAGAAAGGGATTCGTTCATACCATCGGTAGAGTTTGTAAGACCACGACTGATCCTGAAAGGAGTGGATGGAAAAAAGAGTTATACTGATGATGATATGATTTAAAGAGCCTTATTTCTAATGGCTTCTTCTTTCTTCAGTCCTAATGACATCCACCAAACGTATTTGGATTAGCATCAATTAACACCTCCAAACCCATGTTTCATGCTTCTTGAAAAAGGAGAGAAGCAAGTACTACATCTTGGTAGTTTTTTGACTTGTGCTATAAAAAATGATATTTGCATTATGAAAAGGCTGTAATTACTTTGTCTAAAGTGAGGGATAATCTTTCCTTGTTAGTGCGATTAGATAGCCAGCAGCTAGCCAGGGGAGAATCATTGATTGATATTCTGTGGATGTATATAATCTATCACTAGACTAAGCATGCAAACAAAGATGCGATAAATCAACACATCTCTAGCTGTCATGCTTGACTAGCTAGGTAACTTGAATATGTGGTGTTAGTGTCTCGAAGATGATAATTAAAACTTCAGAAACCTCCAAATGACATTAAAGTATTGGTTTTTGTCCAACCTTGATGAAGACAAACTTGGAGGGCATTCTTGGCATTAGAATTTAATTTCTTTCTAGATAAGGCATGCCTAATGATACCATGGTGGTCCTCCGGCTCCCCCTTCCTTCGTCCGGTTTTCCTCGTCTAAGGGAGGGTGGGATTTTCTACATAGTGTGATGGGGGTGAGTGCCTGTAAAGCTCTGTCCATGACATAAAATATAGACCACATGCACTTACGTTAAACCTCTTATATGCTTTTCCTGAATCTTCACATTCAGAAAAAGTTTGGCAGATTCTCGTGAATTATGTGGAGAAAAAGTAATGGGAAGAACGATAGAAAAGATATAAACTAGTGAAGTAGGTTCAAGTCCCAATCATTAACAAACTTACAGCCAAATTGGACGATGAAGTCTGCACAAATTATAGGCATAAAAGCTGGAGTGCAGAACTATACATGTTCCATGGATATTAGCTCTGGTTCGCAATTGTCCCATTCATGACTAGTTTGGTACAATCACATCAGTCTTTTCCCTTCATGAATGATGAACCCCTTCTCTTCCGTTTCGCTCTACAATAAAATTGGAGCCCTCGTTAATTAAAGCAGGAAGGCCAAGGGTAAGGACATCTAGAGACAGGTGTTCAAACAAAAGTGGGAAACTACCAGATAAGGACAATTTAGGATCAGATGGACCAGTGGGTTCGAAAGGAGCTTTCACTATGGAGTTGTCTGCAGCAAGGAGTACGACTACAAAAACCTGAGAAGAAATCTTTTGAAACTGTGCTTTACACGTTACCGGTTCGTGAAGTCATTTGGTTGTTTGTCGCCCACCAAAGTGCCATAGCTGGTTAGCAGCGGCATCTTCACTTAAAATGGCACGTGCTTTGCAGCAAAATATTTATCTATTTGGAAGATGGGTAGAGGACAGTTATTGTCTGCTTTAAAATATTTTCAAAAGTGCTCGGAAAGCCAACACCCCTAAAGTGAAACTGCCAAGTGTAGGTGTCAAACAAGTAGCACCTCTTCATTATTATTACTACTATCTTTTTTTACTCCTCTTACCGCTTTCCAGCTACATCTTTAAACATCTCTTTCTTTCTCAATCATGGAGGCCATGCCACACGAGGAATCATCCTTGACTGTGCCTCTCATAGAGGATGAGAATGAAGAAGGGTTAGGAAGCAAGCCAGAGCAAGTAGAATCAAATTCTGCTCATGACTGTGCGGGCACTACGTCTGTCTTCAGAACCTGTTTTAATGGACTTAATGCTCTTTCAGGTTCTGTTTTGTTCTTTGTTCTAATTCATCTTAATTCATAACACTAACTAGATCCTGCCCTATAGGTCCCCAGGAGCATGGCTTATTGGATTAAAAATATGTAACTTCACTGGAAAATGTTTGCTGAAACCACAATCTAAATGCTTTAAAATTTCAGTCATGTTGAAGAATACTGAGTGTTTTAAGGAGACTGTAGGAGTTGATAAGAACCTTTTCCTATTTTAATTTCTTTTACCATTTTCATTTGTTTTCTCCAAAAGCCAGAAAAGAAAGTAGTTTCCCTAACCTTTCCTTTCTTTTTTTTTTTTACTTTCAACTATTTCCAGGAGTTGGGATATTATCAATCCCATATGCACTGGCATCAGGAGGATGGTTGAGCTTGATATTTCTTTTTGGCATAGCCACGGCAGCATTTTACTCGGGTTTGTTGATTCAAAGATGTATGGACGCAGATTCTAATATCAGAACTTATCCTGACATAGGCGAGCATGCATTTGGGAACAAGGGGAGACTAATAGTATCAGTTTTCATGTACATCGAGCTCTACTTAGTCGCAACAGGATTTTTGATTCTAGAAGGAGATAACTTGCAAAAGTTGTTCCCAAATGTGGATTTTGAAGTAGCAGGACTAACAGTTGGTGGGAAACAAGGCTTTATAATAATCGTTGCCCTCATAATTTTGCCTTCTGTTTGGTTGGATAACTTGAGCCTTCTTTCTTACGTCTCTGCCAGCGGGGTTATAGCCTCCGCAGTCATCCTAGGTTCAATTATCTGGACTGCTGTATTTGATGGAATTGGGTTTCAACAAAGGGGAACACTGCTAAATTGGGATGGAATCCCAACTGCTGTTAGCTTATACGCCTTCTGTTATTGTGCGCATCCAGTCTTCCCTACCCTTTACACTTCCATGAAAAAAAGGCATCAGTTCTCCAATGTAAGTTTTTAACTTTCCAAATTTATGTTGTTCAGTGCACATAATTCCAACAGTCTGTCACAAGAGTCTTCTGATTTTCAACAGGTTTTGAAGAAAATTTCTGTTTTTCTTTCAGGTCCTGGTTATATGCTTTGTCTTGTGTACCATCAGTTATGCATCAATGGCAATTTTTGGGTACTTAATGTTTGGTTCAGATGTTCAATCACAGATAACTTTGAACCTTCCGACTAACAAGCTCAGCTCAAGAGTGGCAATATACACCACCCTGGTCAATCCCATATCCAAATATGCATTGATGGTTACACCAATTGTTAATGCAACTAAAACCTGGTTTCCATTTCACTGCAACAAGCGATTCCTCAGCCTCTTTGTTGGCACCACCTTGATGATCAGCACTGTTTTGGTGGCTCTGGCAGTTCCATTCTTTAGTTCCCTCATGTCCCTAGTTGGAGCATTTTTAAGTATCACAGCTTCGATCATAATACCATGCTTATGCTACTTGAAGATATCAGGAACTTATCAGAGATTCGGGTGCGAAATGGTTGCTATAGGCCTTATAATACTAATGGGTGTTGCCGTGGTGATATTCGGTACTTACACATCTGTTATGGACATAATAGGCAATTTATAAATGCCAGTGGTTTTGTATATGCCTATTTTGTTATATATAATGTTATCGTTTTCCTGATTAATTTGAAGGGTTCTTCTCTAAGTTCAGATGAAAGTTCTTTTCATTGCAATCTGAACCTGTTTGTTGCACTAGCAATGGAATCCTTCCCAACACTTACATCGCTTGGATATAACATGCATTAGTTATCACTGATTAATGTTTGCAAACTTTTTTCCTATATTTTGAGTGTTTTGATCCTGAAAGCCAAGTGTTCGCAGGATTGTCAACATAGTAATCATGAAGTATCACTGACTTTCTAGTTTGCACTACACCAGATTACAAAAGTAAGCCTCCAGTCTTTAATTGGCACAAATTCTTATCAACGCCTCAAATTCCCCCTTGCATTCAGATTGCTGACTGGAGCTTGTTGAAAAATGGTCTTCTTCTACAGAAACAGCAACAGTCTATCAGAAGAAAACCTTCAGTAACTATCCATCTCTTGGCTTTCACTTGTCTTATTAGATTGCTAAATCCTTTTCTCTCCTCAAGATCCATCTTTCTTCGTTTCCACTTAGTTTCTACTGTGTACAGGGGTAGGAAGTTTGAAGGCCATATTTTATTATCTATATATATGGAACTATACATTCCTTAGGGCCACAGGAATGACTGCTGAAAGTAATGATCTCCTACGATTTCTATACACCACTGTGCCTACATAGGACCACACCACTATTAAAGCAAAATGAAACTAGGGAGTACGGCTATAATGCAAATTTGCAGCTTGCACAATTAAATATTTTCTCTACTCTTGAATACAAAAGGGTTCATATCAAGCAAAACAACTACAAAACGTTAATTATTTTCATGTGTAAGGTCAGTGTATCTAGCAATAGATAGATGCCATCAAAATCAAATTGAGAATCATACCCTGAAAAAAACTGATAAATGGAGCCATTTAACTCAAGACAGCTTTCGCCAGCCATCTTTTTCAACCCTCCATCCCTCATAACCTTCCGTACACTTGCTGCTCTATCCCACATTCCAGCTTCTGCATACATGTTTGCAACCATCACCAAATTTCCACTCCTCCGTGGCTCCAACTCAAGCAACCTCTTTCTCACCCTATCACTGACGCCATCAGTATCATTAACATTATGGATACTGCATGCACTTAGCAAAGTCCTCCATAAAATCGGGTCAGGCTCAATAGGCATGTTCATTATGAAAGTGTAAGCATCTTTCAAACGACCAGCACGACCCAAGGCATCAACCATGGCACCATAATGAACCATCATAGGCTTAATCCCATGAACATACTCCATTTCACGAAAATACCGGTGCCCATCGTCCACCAAACCAGAATGGCTACAAGCACAAAGAACTCCAAGATAAGTAACGTAATTCGGTCTTATACAAGAACTTTTCATCATCTTTACAAAAATTTCAAGGGCTTCCTTAGCAAAACCGTGTTGAGCAAATCCCAAAATCATTGCACTCCAAGTCCACACATTTTTCTCCTCCATTCTATTAAAAACTCGACTAGCATAACCAACATATCCACTCTTAGCATACATATCAACAAGTGCAGTCCCCAATTGACAATTCGAAATTAAACCTCTCTCAATAACTTGCAAATGAAGCAACCTCCCAAAGCTTAAAGATCCTAGCTCTGCACACGCTGAGAGCATGATCACCATTGTGGTTTCGTCCAACCCAAAATTCCTCATCTTAACGAAATACCCAATTGCATCCTCAATGCAAAAATTCTCAACACAAGCAGAAAGCACCGCATTCCACGAAACCACAGTTCTCTCACCCATTCCATCGAACACTTTCTTTGCATCCGTTATCTTCTTACAACACCCATAAAAATGCACCAAATTGTTCTCAACATAAACATCATCATCTAAACCATGCTTTACAATCTCCCCGTGAACCTGTCTACCTTCCGGAAGTGCTTCACCCCTGGCGCACGCCTTTAAAACAAATGGGTACGTAAGTTTATTGCGTTGAAGGCCTCGTTTTCGCATTTCTTTAAGTACCCAGATTGCCTTTTGTGGAGTCTCGCTGGAAGCATAGCCTCGGATAAGAATATTCCATGTAGAGGGAGTTGAGTTGAGTGAGTTAACGAGAAGGGTATGCGAGTAGCTGAGATTTTTGTACGGAGACAGCGAGGAGAACCTGACTAGTTCGGTGAGAAGGAAAGAGTCTTGGTGAAGATTAGAGATGAGGATTTGGGCATGGACTTGAAAGAGGTGTTTGATTGACGAACAGAGCTTTAAGAAAACCAGAAATTGGTGCTTTCTCGAAAGGAAGTTTTGGTTGCACATTTCTGGAGGGAAATTTCGTTGGTGGATGAAGAAAAAGATGAGACAACGAACTGGATATCAAAACGACGTCATTCAGGGCAATCCACCAATTTCATAATTTAATTAGCTTAACTAAAATTGATTTTAAAGCTCCATTTTCATTTCATTCGTCCATATTTGGATTGATGTTCAATGTTTGCACCTAATATATCAATCAGCACTTTCCGCACTAATTTTTGAAGACTTAGCTGGCTATATGTCATAGCTCTGGCAGTTGGACGAATTTGATTATGTATTATCTAGACTGTATTAATGAGCCTCAACTTCTTATACTGTTGCGTATTAGACTGTATCTATACAATATTGCCTTGCCTAAACTATATTGTACAGTTATTCAAGCATTGATCATCTCACGGACAGGAGATCTGTCTGCTTTTACTACAGGTGCATCAACAAATTCTGACAGGATTGTTCTGAACTCATCTCCTGTAACGGTTTCTTTCTCCAGCAGCACCTCCACTAGCTTATCAATGGCTTCGCGGTTATTCCTTATAAGCTTCTTTGCAACCTCATATGCGCTCTCAATTATGTTCCTAACTGATGAATCAATGTCTTCTGCTAGTTTCTCAGACATTGAATTCCTAGCCAGCATCCTTAGCACCACATCGCTACTTTGTACTGCAGGATCAGTTAATGCCCAAGGTCCAATATCTGACATGCCAAATCTTGTTACCATCTGTAATAAAAAAGAAACCAGTTAGCTAAAGATGGTTTTCCATTTTTATTGCTTTCTTGGGAGATGATAGATTGAAAATTCCAATTCTCTAGTTGCAAACCTGTCGTGCTATTTGTGTTATTTGTTGCAAGTCCCCTGCTGCACCTGTAGTAATTTCTGATTCTCCAAAGATTATCTCTTCTGCTGCCCTACCACCAAGTCCTCCAACTATTCTAGCAAAGAGTTGTTGCTTGGAAATTAGAGCAGGATCTTCACCTGGTATGAACCATGTTAGGCCTCGAGCTTGGCCTCTGGGGATCAGAGTGACTTTTTGAACTGGGTCATGGCCTGGGGTCAATGCCCTGCAAGTACAAAGTGTAAAAGACAGGTCGAGTAACTATGCTTTCTTTCTATGTAATATCCATAGGAAGCTATCCATAAAAATAACTGAGGATGTTTGATATATTGCACTATTCATTTTACAGGTTAGATAAGCGTCGACTAATTATTTATGAGAGATTGTTTCATGAAACTTACGCACAGACAGCGTGTCCAATTTCATGATAGGTCACAAGAATTTTGCTCTTTCCATCTGTCATCTTTGTTCCCTCGATTCCAGCCACAATTCGATCAATTGAGTCATCAATCTCTTTCATCGTGATCTTGTCTTTGCCCCTTCTACCGGCAAGAATGGCAGCTTCATTCATAAGGTTGGCCAAATCTGCACCACTGAATCCTGGTGTCCTCATAGCAATTACACCGAGAGAAACATCTTTACCCAGCCTCTTGTTGTTGCTATGTACCTTCAGTATTTGTTCCCTGCCTCTTATATCTGGCATCCCAACGGTGACCTGTTCAATCAACAGATTTAGGGTTCTAAAACTTTTAGCCATGGTCTTGTAAACCTAATGATCAAAGTACATAACACTAGCCCTATTATAGCAGTGTCACATTTGCTCATAAAGAACATTTCAAGTTGCAATATATTTATGAAGAGTAGCTTTTACCTGTCTGTCGAATCTTCCAGGCCTAAGCAAAGCAGAATCAAGAATTTCAGGCCTATTAGTAGCAGCAATGACGATAACTCCAGTGTTGCCAGTAAAACCATCCATTTCAGTTAGCAATTGATTTAGAGTTTGCTCCCTCTCATCATTTCCTCCACCTATACCAGTTCCTCTCTCCCTTCCAACAGCATCAATCTCATCTATGAACACCAAGCACGGTGGATTAGCCTTTGCCTTGTTAAACAGATCCCTCACTCTTGAAGCTCCCACTCCAACAAACATCTCTATGAACTCTGATCCAGAAAGTGAAAAGAGAGGAACCCCCGCTTCTCCTGCAATTGCCTTTGCCATCAATGTCTTTCCAGTCCCAGGAGGTCCAACTAAAAGCACTCCTTTAGGAATTTTTGCACCCACTGCAGCAAACTTCTCTGGGGTTTTTAAGAACTCAACTATCTCTTGAAAATCTTGCTTAGCTTCATCAACACCAGCAACATCATTAAAAGTTACTCCAGTGTTGGGTTCCATCTCAAATTTGGCTTTGCTCCTGTCATCACAAAGAAATTAGTACATGCTCTTGTTATCAAGGAACAGTAACCAAAACTATATATAGTCCATTTAACACCTAAAATAATCAATTAAAGTAGGAAATAAGTTACCTTCCAAGTCCAAAAGGCAAGTTGGGACCTCCAGGAGTGTTTGGAGATGAGCTCCTTAACAAAAAAGTGCCTAGCAAGATCAATGGAAGTGCCAAGTTCCCCAACAAGTCAAGTAAAGCAAACGACCAGTTGATATCAATTGGATGAGCAGCAAAATCTACACCATTCTCCTTCATTTTCCCCAGTAATTCTCGTCGCAATCCCGGTAACTGGACTCTTACCCTCTGAATTTTGTCAAGCGCAGGATTATATATTTCAGCAATCGCTACAGTTGCATTCTCGAACAAGTCCACCTTTCTCACAGCACCTTCGGCCAAGTACTGCAAGAATCTTGAATATGACATTCTATTTGATGTGCTTTCAAATGGGCTCTCTGGCTCAGCTCTTATTGGCTGAGCAACTGAGAGACCTCCAATAAGACCCAAGGCAG